AGCTGCATAGTCCAATATTTGAGATAGTGAAGGCCAAGTCCCTGAACTAGATGGCAAATGGTTTGGTCTCTGAGCCAGCATATGTATTCTTGCCTCTGTGGATATTATATTGAACCTACAGGCATCTCACTCTGTTTGTATGGAAAGTGTGGAGTTTACCGGGGGAATGTAGAGGTGCCTGTGCACTTTAGTTGCTTTGCTTTAATGTCACAAAGGGTCTTAAGCTGATTTAGTTCACATGATTTAGTTAACTCAATTAGCAATACTGGTAAACATGGCACTAAGACTCGAAGTCTTTGTGATTCTGCAATTGCTAGGGCCCATTTAACATAAAGTGTTTTCTATGTTAAGGCTAGCGTGCAACTGGGTACTAGTTAGGCAAAACCCAGAGATCAATACTGGGTCCAATGGTGCAAAGGAAGTGCAAAGCCCTGCACCTGGGGAGGAACAACCCCATGCACCAATATATGCCAGGTGCTGACCAGCTGGAAAGCAGCTTTGCAAAAAAGGACTTGGAGGTCCTGATGGACACCAAGTTGAACATGAGCCAGCAATGTGCTCTTGCTGCAAAGAAGGTGAACGGTGTCCTGGGCTGCATTAGGAGGAGCGCTGCCAGCAGGTCGAGGGAGGCGATCCTTCCCCTTGACTCGGCACTGATGAGGCCACACCTGGAGTGCTGTGCCCAGTTCTGGGATCCCCAGTATAACAGAGATATAGAGCTACTGGAGAGAGTCCAGCAAAGGGCCACTAAGATGACTGAGGGACTGGAGCATCTCTCCTATGAGGAAAGGCTGAGAGAGCTGGGACTGTTCAGCCTGGAGAAGAGAAGGCTCAGGGAGATCTTATCAATGTATATAAATACCTGAGGGGAGGGTGCAAAGAAGATGGAGCCAGGCTCTTTTCAGTGGTGCCCAGTGACAAGAGGCAACGGGCACAACTGAAACACAAGAGATTCCCTCTGAAAAATCAGGAAACACTTTTTCACTGTGAGGGTAACCAAACACTGGCACAGGTTTCCCAGAGCTGTTGTGAAGTCTCCATCCTTAGAGATATTCAGAAGCCATCTGGATAAAAGCCTCTCCTTCATTGCTATGCCCTGCTTCACAAGCCTCTTCTGTGATTTGGACCACTTTCAAAAAAAGACTTTAGGTTTCTAACACTGGCTTATGGCAACCTACTGACACTAAGTTCAGTCCCCAAAACACTGCTGAGTGACTGTCCATACCTGGAGACACCTCAACTCACTGGCCACTTCCCTTTCAAACTAGACCTTCCCTTGGCCACCTGCATGCCCAGAGCTGCCTGGCCATGTGCCTCACTCCTGCTTGTTACACAGCTGGGTCCACATCCCAAACCACACAACAGCAAAAACCCAGAAGAGCTCTACTGAGAAGGCTGGCTTTGTCACTGACCACTGTTGGTGAAAAATGATGACACGCAGGGAAGGTCCCATATGACTGGAAAAAGGCTAATGTTATGCCCATCTTTAAGAAAGGCAGGAAGAAGGATCAGTGAAACTGTAAGCTGCTCAGTTTCACTTTAGTTATTTGAAAGATCACAGAATATGTCTTCTTGGTATTTATTGCTAAGGATGTGAAGGACAAGAAAATAACTGAGAGCAGCCAACATGTATTTATGAGGGAAAGTAATCACGCTTGACTAACCTGATTGGTTTTTATGATGAAGTGGCTGTTGCCTTTTATCAGTTCTTTACTGATAATCAGCATGCCTTTGCCCTGGACCTCTACTATGGTATCATAAAGTAGTCTTTGGTCTACTAAAACTGAACTGCCTCCCTTTGATTCCTTATTTCTGTGCTTTATAAACACTATCATACTAGATTTTTGGGGCTATTTTAACTCCTCCAAGGATGTTATATTACATGTATTGCCATAGCTCAATTCTTAAACAAACAGCTTTATTTTCAACTATGTCCACAGCTGTATTCAAACCAGGCAAGTCAACACCACTTTTCCTTCACACTCTAACTAGTGGTTTGATGAAGCACTCACTGACAGTGTCCACAAATATAGTTTTGGTACTGCAACCCAAAACAACATTTGGCCATTCTGTGTGGAGTAGTTGTGGTCTCCTATTGGTATTACATCCATTGCTCTAGCAGTCTGGTAGTCCTCTTTTAATTGCAGTTGGTGTTACCATCCTGAGAGGACAGCTGTTATGAAATGAGGAGACATTTAGTGAAGGGCCTGAAGCAGGAAACTTGAGGGACTTGAATTCCCTGAACAGCATAAGCATGGAGAAATATTAACACAGGACTTCAGTGCTGGACATGGCAAGAGCTGGAAGGAATTCAGCTTCACAATTTCCACCTCTCTTGAGTGCAATCTGTTTGGTATGAGTTTACTGTTCAACCAAAAAGGAAGACAAGGCCATTGTCACTATATGTTTCCAAAAACTGAATGCCTCATCTTTCTCCAAGAATCTGTGAGTGGCAGCTGAACATACAGGGAAATTTGGCAGGCCTCTATTCCTATATGAAGAATTATTTTGTGAAGGTTGCGTGCTCAAATCAGATATTAAATGCCCTCCACATTACTGTATTGCACTAGACAAGTACTCAAAATTACCACACTAGTCCTCTGGTAATGGGCAGCTCTTCTTCCTAATCCATGTGAAAAGGTTAGCGTTCTGAGATTTCAGCTGTCCCTGTAACTTGTGTAGTGAGCTCAGGGGTGAGCTCTAGGTTTGGATTCTAGTCTGGGGCCCAAAATGTGGGTGCTACAGTGCCAGAGCACTCTTGGAAGGGGCTTCTGCAGTACAGGGCATTGTCTGATGCTATATATTACACTGAACCCCAGACATTGTTTTTCTAACCTCTTCCCTGTGTTATTCACTGAGATATTTTAATGACTGAAATTCAAATGACCAGGAGAAGAATGTGTTTAGATCTGGAGGATCTGAAGAAGTTTAAATGATTACACCTTTTCCTAAAACTAGATCAGTTAGTCTCTTGGTCTACGAGCAAATCTCCTTTTCCCATACCATCAGCATTACACAAGACTGCTTGCTACTTCTAATGCTCTGGTAGAGGCAGTACTGTGTTGTTAGATTTTTCTGGGACTGTGAATTTGTAAATATGTGTGTTTTGATGGCACAGCAGTGCTAGACTGAGGATTTATCAGAATGCATAATATCTGGAACTGTATGCTGAGGTGCTACACGTGATTGAGTTTATAAGCATGGCAGGGTAAGGCACATTATTTTGGGGAGCTGTAGGTAGGGAGGGGCTATAAGAGCCTCTGGGACTTGAGATTTCATAGAGGTAACAGGTTATTTATGCAAACAGTAATAGGAGCAAACATACATGAAATGCAAGTAAAAAGTCTAAGAGAGTGAACAGTGAGAAAGCAGAGTTTCCTGGGGAATCACATTTAAATGAAATATGCACAAAAGCATATATTATCTATGCATGCACAAGCATATATTTTAATTTGATACCACAAAAGACAGCTCAGGAATCTATTCAGAGCTCCATTTCAAAGTAGAGTCTCCCATTACTTGGGTTCAGGCTTCCCACTCACTGTATTTCAAACCCTCTCAACTATTGAGAGCGTCCTATACAGAAACCTCAGCTGTAATACTTTGTGATTTTCTGCTTTTTAGAAAATACCACTGAAAAGTGGCTCTTAACAGCAATTATTTGCTGTTTTTTGACATTATTTTCCTGTTCCTCTCAATGCATATGTTCCTAAAGCATCACAGATGTTATCATCCCCTTGCGTGACTGAAAAGTTGCGATATAAACACACCAAGGAAACTACCATAGGTCAAGCAGCAAATCACTGAGAAAGCCAGCAATAGGAATGGTAAGTCCCTGCATCCAAGTTCTCTAAGTGCCTTGAGTAGTCTAGATTCTCTCCTTAACACTCTTGACAAATTATTTATAGATGTATTCACATAGTCAGTAAGACATAAAAATGTTCTAATTATATCATTCAAATCAAATGACAATTATGCCCTTAGTTTGCCAGACAATGCTTTGCCAAAGAAGGTTTGCCAGAAATGTTTTGACCGAAGAAAGGGGGAGCATCTGCAGCATCTGCAGATAAGACACTATAAAATCTCAGAGGGACAAGTCTGGCCTGTCTCCACGGAAGGCTTCAAGGTAAGTGCATGCATTTTGTGAGCTTGAAGAAAGAGGACAGTGTCCTTGCAATATCCCATTCTGTTTCTCCTGCCTCTGTAAATCATTTCCACAAGGCAATGCCCATGTAAATAAAAATTTTCAATATAATTTCAATGCATGTCTGTATCTTCAATCTATAATTTGTCTCTGGAATTCCATGGAGCAATAAGAAACAACTGCCATTCCTATTTTACAGGGTTGGCCAGTTTCCAGGATACAAGCACTTCTCCAAAGGTAAAACCCTAAATAATGCACTCCTAGACTAGACTCCAAGATAGGACTTTTATACAGCTGCATGAGCTCTCTTCGTAAATCTTCTTACATTTCTGCCAACTTTTGCTTAGGCTAGACTGTTGAAAATAGGGAAGATCTAAAAAGTGAAGTAATTTTTAGCACACAAGGTAATACTTTTAACAAGAAAGTACTCTTTTAAAGATTCATCAGTCATAATTAAGGACCAGAACAGAGAGTGATTTTCTCTGGCTGTAGATTCTTTTATGTGAAGATGTCAAATCTGGTCAGAATTCTGAGTTACCAAACAGTAGTCAATATTCAGAAGATGTTCTATTTACTGTTACAAGGGCTACGTGTTTTAGAAGACTAAGTCTCACTCTTGAGTGGGACTTAGGTACTTTTAAGTTCAAATCAAAGTGGTTTTCAGTGGTTGCTTCTAATAGATCTTCTGGGAGACTAGCTAGCAATTTATTAGCTAAAGAGCAAGGAGTTTCCTCACTAATATAGATTATATTATTCTTCTCAGTGATCCACAACATTTTTTTCCCCACCAGACACCTCTGCTAACGTGCTGACGTGCTCTCAATAAAGTGCAGACATGGCCTCTTCAGACTCTGAGATGGCTGTTTTTGGGGAGGCAGCTCCTTACCTCCGAAAGTCAGAAAAGGAGAGAATTGAGGCCCAAAACAAGCCTTTTGATGCCAAGACATCTGTCTTTGTGGCTCATCCTATCCTTTCCTTTGTGAAAGGGACAATCCAGAGCAGGGAAACAGGGAAGGTCACTGTCAAGACTGAAGCTGGAGAGGAAAATTCAAGTCAAGCTTCAGAGCAGCATTTGATTCCCACTCTGAGCTGTTAGCTGACATACAGCGATCCTTCGTCTCCTTGGCAGACCCTGACCGTGAAAGAAGATCAGGTCTTTTCCATGAACCCTCCCAAGTATGATAAAATCGAGGACATGGCTATGATGACCCACCTCCACGGCTGCCGGGGTACAACCCGGAGGTGGGGTTGGCCTACCGAGGCAAGAAGGGCCAGGCGGGCCCTCCACACATCTTCTCCATCTCTGACAACGCCTATCAGTTCATGCTGACGGGTGAGTGCTTGACCTCCCTCACAGCAATCTAAACCAAAAAGCCCTGCTGATCTCAGTGGAGCATTTGACAAGCCAGCTAAAACACCACGGAGCTGTATGACTGAGAGCTTGATGGAGTTACGCAGGAATTCATTTCAACTGAAACTGCCCCAGAAGCATGCATGGGCTCAGCACGGTGCATTATTTGCACTCTATTGTACGAAATTCTACACTCTCCCACTGCAGAAACACTACTTGACTCAGTTTGCTACATTTTTTCCCTGATAAGAAAGAAAAAGTTATTATTCCATATAATCCACTATTTTGAACACAGGTAGGCAGTTTGATTCTATTCATCCATTTGGGCTTACACTCACTATTGTTGGGACCTGGAAAGGTATTGGGCACTCTTGGACTTTCTGAAGAAGCTCCAACTTACATTTACAGCTTTACTTCTCATTCGGCTTAGTGTTACCCAGGTCATCTGCTAACACTATCTTTCATTTTGCCCCTTTCACAGATCGTGAGAACCAGTCCATCCTGATCACGTATGTACACTCCCTGCTCGGGTCACCGTGGGGCTGCCCGGTGCCAGGGGACCTCCTGCCTGACCACACGCTCTCTGCCTCTCTCTTTGGTTTGACAGCGGAGAATCCGGTGCAGGGAAGACTGTGAACACAAAGCGTGTCATCCAGTACTTTGCAACAATTGCAGCGAGTGGGGAGAAGAAGAAGGAAGAGCAGCAGTCAGGCAAAATGCAGGTGAGTCAGGAAGAACAGACTGAAGGTTCGATGTGCAATTGCCATGTCAGCTAAACGCTGTAACTGAATAATTATCATCCTGTAGGGAATGCTTGAGGATGAAATCATTAATTAATAGATAGTAGTTTGAATCAATGATTTTCTCTGCTCCTGACAAGAGTTTTGGAAAGGATAACCTGCCATAATTATTGTCCTGCAGGGAACGCTTGAGGATCAAATCATCAGCGCCAACCCACTGCTGGAGGCCTTTGGAAACGCCAAGACTGTGAGGAACGACAACTCCTCACGCTTTGTAAGTTGTTGCTTTGGACAAAATCTCTCCCTCTCATTATAAGAAAAGTGATGGCCCTAGCAGTATTCCACGTAAAGGAGACATCAAAAGAACCCATCCAGGCTGAAATGCTGCTGCTTCTCCTTAACAGGGCAAATTCATCAGAATCCACTTTGGGGCCACAGGCAAACTGGCTTCTGCTGACATTGAAACCTGTAAGAGACTCTCCTGACCTCATCCCATTCCTTCCTAAATTCTCACCTCCTTGTGCGTTCCTGTGCCTCACTCTTTCTACCGTCCTTGCCAGATCTGCTGGAGAAGTCCAGAGTCACTTTCCAGCTCAAGGCAGAAAGAAGTTACCACATATTTTATCAGATCACCTCCAACAAGAAGCCGGAGCTGATTGGTAAGAGGCATCATTGAGCTTTTTGGAGGAAGATCACTGAGCAACATTTCACTACATTACAAAAACAATGAAATTTAACGCATGAACCTATTTGTTTTCAGAAATGCTCCTCATTACCACCAATCCGTATGACTACCCTTTTGTGAGTCAAGGTGAGATCACTGTTCCCAGCATTGATGACAAGGAGGAGCTGATGGCTACAGATGTAAGTAACTTATGAAACAGGTCAACAGGCACAGGTCATACATCACATAACATGCAAGTATTTCACTTTGCTGATTGTATTACCAGAGTGCCATTGACATCCTGGGCTTCACTGCTGATGAAAAGACTGCCATCTACAAGCTGACAGGGGCTGTCATGCACTACGGGAACTTGAAGTTCAAGCAGAAACCAAGAGAGGAGCAGGCAGAGCCAGAAGGCACAGAAGGTATTATCAAACTCAATAATTAACCCTTCTGTAAGCCATTATGGATGTGGAAGACAGAAAAAGTTGTTCTTTTTTGGACTTTAGAATCCCAAGGAAAACAGTAAGCCAGAAAAAACTGTCCCTTGTCCTCTTCTCAGTACATCAGGTTCCCTGATCTCAAGATTTTTGTATATCTTCTGCTACGAACAATTAATAGTTTAAACTGTCCTTCACACACTTCCAGGAAGTCAGGAGCGATGGATGTCCTTCCTGTAACATTATTAGTCACACCATTGTTGGAATATGGCTTGCAATTGTGAAACAGCCAAGTGGTTTAGCTCTAACAGGATTCCCTTCCCATTCACCCTCACCTGTCAGATCCTCAGGGAACTCTGGTGTCAGAGGTGTATTCGATTCCTCTCCTTTGTTGCGCAGGGCCTACAACCCACGTCTCCAGCTCTCTGAGCAACGGCTCCCCTTGCTAAAGGACTAGGTAGAAGGTGGGAAGTATCATAGGCAAAAGATTGAAACCCAGTGAGTTTTAGTGAACATCAGAAACCAAAGCTCAGAAAAGGTCGTAGACTCTGTATCTGAAAGAGAACAGAGATATCCTCTCTGTGTTCCACCCTAAATATTGGGTGTTTTCAATCACCTGAATGTAGATCAGTACCTGACTGTTGTCACTGCAGCTCCTGAGCTACACAGGTACTACAAATATTCAGACTGGCAAGCTGCAGCTTTCAATTTTGTGCCAGGAGATTTTTGAAAACATCATTACTTTCTACATGCTTCAGTGAAGATTTTCAAATGTAAATTCTTTTAGAAAGCTCAATATGCATAATGATGACTTTGATGTTACCAAGATTCTCTCTATAAGAACCTATTGAAAGATTTCAAAGAACTGAAATCTGAACCCTGCAGCCTTTAGAGAATACTCCAGGATTCAGAGTCAATGTGACACTAAATTCCTCCTTTTCCTTCTGTCTTTTTAGTTGCTGACAAGGCTGCCTACCTGATGGGTCTGAATTCAGCTGACATGCTCAAGGCACTGTGCTACCCTCGAGTCAAGGTTGGGAATGAATATGTGACCAAGGGTCAAACTGCGCAGCAGGTAAGAAATCTGTGGTAACCTGGAACCATGTTTTGAATTAAGATCCTTTTGGTTCTCCTCTGCTCTGTATGGTAACTCCAGGCATTTATTTTTCTTATAGGTGCACAATGCTGTAGGTGCTCTTGCAAAGGCTGTCTATGAGAGGATGTTCTTGTGGATGGTTGTCCGTATCAACCAACAGCTGGATACAAAGCAGCCTAGACAGTACTTCATTGGTGTCCTGGACATTGCTGGCTTCGAGATCTTTGATGTAAGTAACAAAGATTTGGTAAGAGCTACTTGGAAGTGACAACTGGATGTTATGATCACTCTGAGACATATTTTTAAAGATGTACTATCATCACATAATTGTTTGCAGCTATTTGTCTTTTTTTGTCATGAAGTAAAAAATGACTTTTCAAAGTACTTATCTTATTTCAAGATGTGCAAACTCAAAAGTACAGAATGGTCCAACCAGAAAAATTCCTTGGTTTAAATGATCAAGGACAAGGCAGTATAAAAACATGTATATCGTGATAGGCCTAAGCTTGGGTTTTTTCTCCCTGTAATTTGGTCTCAGTTTATACAGGAAATATATTTTGTCTTCACATTCTTATCAATTAAAAAAAAATTCCTCGTGGACAATTAATTTGATGCATTTCTCTGTTTAGTTATGTAGACATAAAGCAGACTGAAGAAATGCACAGACTTGACAATGAAGCCAAGATAACTGCATTCATTATTTTTAAAGGATGAGGTTTTGCAATTATTGCCGCATCTTGCAAATATGGGTCTTTCTTATTTTATTTCCAGTTCAACAGCTTTGAGCAGCTGTGCATCAACTTCACCAATGAGAAACTGCAACAGTTCTTCAACCACCACATGTTTGTGCTGGAGCAGGAGGAGTACAAGAAGGAAGGAATTGAATGGACATTCATTGACTTTGGGATGGACCTGGCTGCCTGCATTGAGCTGATTGAAAAGGTACCTTTCCCATTCAAATGCATTACGTGCATGGAATTTCTATAACTACTTGGTCTCATTTTTCAAAGGGATCTTCTATGTTCATGTCCAAATATTCAGCTATTGTTATTCAAAATACCTTGCCCTATAGTTTATTTTTTCTGTCAAGTGAGACATGAAGGAGATTTCACACAGCTTTGTGGCAGCAGTCTGTACTGATCTCTTTTCAAGTGCCAAAAGATTGTTAAACTCCCAATAAGAGTGGTCTTCCAAAACAGCTAGAGTCATTTCCAGGTCAGCGTGTCCTCCTCACCTTTCAACTCTAACAGCCTTGTGCTTGTACAGAAGAATAGCTATATCTTTGTAAAATTAACATAGAAGATGGACATACGTAACTGTCAGCACACAGTCGCACTTACATGTGCATCCTTCGACTGACAATGAGAAAGCAGTCACACTGCACATGAGATGAAGAGTTCAGTGGCTGACTCAGACTCCACAGATACTCTGGGGAACCTGTTCCAGCTTTTGACCACCCTCACCGCTTTTTTCTTCTGTCTAAATGGAATTTTGTGCATTCCAATTCATGCCTGTTTCATCTTGTCCTGTCACTGGACAGCACTGACAAGCTTCTAGCTCTGTCTTCTTTATCCCCTCCCATTAGGTATTTATACACATTGATAAGATCCCCCAGAGCCTTCTCTTTTCCAGGCTGAACAGTCCCATCTCTCTCAGCTTCTCCCTGTATGTCAGATGTTCCAGTCATTTAAATATCTTCATGGCCTGTCACTGGGCTCTCTCGACTATGTCCACGTTTCTCTTGTACTGGGGAGCCAAGAACTAGACACAGCACTCCAGATGTTTCTCAGCAGAGCTGAGTAGAGGAGAAGGCTCACCTCCCTTGAGCTGCTGGCAACACTCTTAATGCAGCCCAGGATGAGCTGGCTGCCTTTGCCACAAGGGTGTATTGTTGGCTCATGTTCAATTTGTCTAAGACATCTCTGTGTGCTTTGAGTCCCTCTGGATAAGAAGGTAGCGCTCTGATTTTATAAAACATGTTCTCAGCACAAGCTAAATGAATTTCCATTAATCTTCATGATTCATTTGGTGTTAAAAAATGTAAGTATCAACATGTTTAATCTCACTTTCTAGCAGAAAATGTAATTGAATAGTAATCGTTTCTGATGTGTATCTCAGTCTGTGTTCCACTACTTTGCCTAGGTGAAGGTCATTATTGCCCTGAAAACTAAATTACAATCTATCTCCCTTGTGCATTTCTTCCAGCCCATGGGCATCTTCTCCATCCTGGAAGAGGAGTGCATGTTCCCCAAGGCAACTGACACCTCTTTCAAGAACAAGCTCTATGACCAGCATCTGGGCAAGTCCAGCAACTTCCAGAAGCCCAAGCCTACCAAAGGGAAGGTTGAGGCCCACTTCTCCCTCATACACTATGCTGGCACAGTCGACTACAACATCACTGGCTGGCTTGAGAAGAACAAGGACCCCCTGAACGAAACTGTCATTGGGTTGTACCAGAAATCATCACTGAAAACATTGGCCTTACTCTTTGCCAACTATGGTGGAGCAGAAGCAGGTTGGTTCTATGAATCCCATATTTTCACTGATGTACAGCTTACAAAAAGGAATCATAAAAGGCAAAAGGAAAAATCTAACACCTGTTTTGTTTATTTTCAATTTTGCAGAGGCTAGTGCTGGCAAGAAAGGTAGCAAGAAGAAAGGTTCTTCCTTCCAGACTGTCTCAGCTCTTTTCCGGGTACAGTAGAGAGTTCACTATTTCTTCCTCAGATGAGGAATAAACCTACCATTTAAAATGGCTAGTCTTTTTTTGGCTTAGTTGTGTTAAAAGACCCTGAAGTTCTTGGGCCATATTTTGCTAGGAATAAATCCACTGTAATCTTTATCTGTGCCATTCCACTGAATGCACAACTTTTCTTTTTGTGCACTTGTCCCAGGATATTTCCAGATGGAAAAGTGTCATACACAAACTTCTAAAATATTCCTAAAATATACCAGATTTCCTTCTGATGCCCACCTCTGGCTTTGGAACCTTTTATTGCCCTTTAAGAACATTCTGCTCACTGGTCTACAGGATGACCTGTTTGCCCCATTTATATCTCTAGTTTTTCTCCATGATTCAGGGATCAATCTCTTATAGTTGAAATACCACCACTCCTTGAGTTATGGATTTTTAAGATGTCAGATACTTGACAGTTCTTTGTCATAACCAAGTCTTGCTGCCTGGCTGCTCCATACACTTCTGCCAGGTGAATTACCTAGTCTCTCATGAGGTTATTTGTAACCATATTCATCCTTCTTTTAGGACTGCCTTCTTGCTATAGCCTGATTTTTTCTACAGATCTGCTGTCATATGATTCTTGATCACCTGACAGCCTCTAACCAGTGCTCTGACACAGGACATGGGCATGTGTGTAAAATAATCATAGCGGTGGTGCCTTGGCCTTGCAAGTGGGAAATTATTGCCAGCATGTATCATTAAAAAATAATGCAATAAGCCTATGTTTAAAGGTCATAAGACTTTAAGAGGTAATGTTATAGGAGAAATATTATTTGCTGCATTTGGGTTGCATTTCTGTTATGTTTTCAAACATTCTTCCACTGTCCCTCTTGTTTAGACATGTTAGTGTTTACACATCTTAATGTTTTGGCTGCTTCATTTACGTACTCTGAGATGTCCTCTGGAGGCACCTGCTTCCCTCCACTAATTAGAGACAATAATTATTTATAAATAAGTATACAGTTATTAATTACAAAAAAAGGCTAGGATTCATCTCACCTTATTCTCACCTTACAGGATAAACATGTAATCTAGACATATAAAACTTAGCTTGTCATTTTTGTTTCTTTTGCTTTAAGTGGGGAAAACAGGAAGGTTCTATGTAGTGTTCTCCATATGACCCAGCTTAAATGCCTACTGTAGTGTGCTTCAAACTCCCTCACAGATGTACCAGTTTATCTCTTTGGGTACATCCAATAGAAGATGGATATAATTTCTAATGAAGGCAGTCCACTAGTCAGTGAAATGTATTACAATTGTATGTTTAAGACTACGATATTTCCTACAGATTAATCAGAAGAACTTTATACATTAAGTTAATAACAGCAAAGATCTGTGGAAAGTCTGAAAAACTGGTGCAGGGTGCTTCAGTTCAGGATTCTGCAACCTAAGTTTTGTCTGATATCTCATTCTCTCATTTCAGGGGGCTTGATGCTTATAGCAAATTACATTTGCTAATATAAACTTTTGTTAATGACTCTCCCAGGAGAATTTAAACAAGCTGATGACCAATCTGCGAAGCACCCACCCCCATTTTGTACGCTGCATCATCCCAAATGAAACAAAAACACCTGGTAAGACACTCACATATAGAAGGTTTTCAGTATGGTGCAGCTCTTCCCTTCTGTGTTACAGCATATAGCATATATTTGTGCTCTGAATTGCTAGGTGCCATGGAGCATGAACTGGTTCTTCACCAGCTGCGGTGTAACGGCGTGCTGGAAGGGATCAGAATTTGCAGGAAAGGATTTCCCAATAGAGTCCTGTATGCCGATTTTAAACAGAGGTCAGACTTCTTCCCCTTACTGGATCATTTTGTCCATCTTGAGTAGCTTGTGAAATTTAAGTTTCACTTCTGGTAACTAAAACCTTCTCTAAAGTTTATGTTTATCAGCGCTGTTATGTTCTCAACAGTTCTTAGAATCTTCCTTGCAGTGTACCAGCCAATTGGTCTCAACAACAGACCTCTTTATAGTCATAGAATCATGGAATCATTTAGGTTGGAAAAGAACCTTAAGATCATTGAGTCCAATGCAAATCCTTCCATTTCTTTCCCCAGATACAAAGTATTAAATGCAAGTGCTATCCCAGAGGGACAGTTCATTGACAGCAAGAAGGCTTGTGAGAAACTTCTTGGATCAATTGATATAGACCACACTCAATACAAATTTGGTCACACCAAGGTACAAGAACTGTTTGTTTCCAGTACTATGTGGTTTTGGTTTGCATGGCTTGAGAATGATACTCAGATTCTCCAGATAGTATGTGAAATGATCAAATAGTGTATTTAAAAGAAATCAACTAAGTACTTATTGACTCAACACTTGAATAAAACTGAAATTCATTGCCATGGGATAATTTAATTAAGGGTTAATTAAGGGTTCCTAGTTTAAGACAAAGTTGTAGAATAAAAGAATCAAGGGTTAATAAAAACAAAGGCAAAATGTCTGGCTATTATAGTTCCTCAACTGTAGGTAACTGGAAGGTTGGAGATATAAAAGAGGGTCTATCACTACATAAATTCTTTGTGCTTTTGCTCTTTCTTTTAACTTCCCATATTATCTGCCATGGGGGACAGGGTGCCAGGCTACACTGAACAACAAGCACATATACTGCACCTATTTTCTTGTTCTTACCTAAGGTGTTCTTCAAAGCTGGGCTGGTAGGCCTTTTGGAAGAGATGAGAGATGAGAAGCTGGCACAGCTCATCACTCGCACACAGGCCAGGTGCAGGGGCTTCCTGATGAGAGTGGAGTACCAGAGAATGGTGGAGAGGAGGTAGACATTTCTTCAAATTAGGTTCACTGTATTTGGCTTATTGTGTCATCATGGTCTAAATATTTAATATTAATTTGACTTGCCTTTCAGAGAGTCCATTTACTGCATCCAGTACAACATTCGTGCATTCATGAATGTCAAGCACTGGCCCTGGATGAAGCTGTTCTTCAAGATCAAGCCCTTGCTGAAGAGTGCAGAATCTGAGAAGGAGATGGCCAACATGAAACAAGAGTTTGAGAAAACCAAGGAAGAGCTTGCAAAGTCTGAGGCAAAGAGGAAAGAGCTGGAGGAGAAAATGGTGAAACTGGTGCAGGAGAAAAATGATTTGCAGCTCCAAGTGCAGGCTGTGAGTACTACAGCATGCCTCATCCTTACTGAACTGTGACTTTCAGGCTGATATGTACAACTACATTTTCAAAAGACACATAGAAACTACAATTTAATTCAGTTCAATTGTATTTCATTAAGTGGTGCTCTTAAAAATGTAACTAGTTTCAATAAGGACTGTCAGGAGGCTGTAGTCGAAATATTACATGGGTGAGACTTTTCTATGGTGTATGCTGAGGTCTCTATCATTTACATTCCGTTAAACTGCATTAGAGCAATCAAGAAACTTTACTTTTATCAGTATAATGTTTGTTCTTCCAGTAATTTTTTCCTACTTCTCCCAAACTAAGTATGCCTATCCTTATACACACATGATTAGGAATTCTTAGGACAAGTTAAGAGGACATTTCTTTCCTCTCTTTGTTGTCCAGTTAAAGAAGAAAACTTGTTTCTTTCTGGTGTAAGAGGTGGTTGTAATACTGAACTGAGAGGAAACAGAATTCAATATTCTCACTAGCCCTCCTAAATCATTCAGAATCATTATATAAAATTATGTGGTATATTTGCGGTGTTGTTAACGCTGTGGTTTCTAAATTAAATCATTCACAGAATAGAAAAGACTGTATCCTCAAAGTAATACTACGCAGTGTATGTGACATATTAGAAAATTTACATGCCCAATTTTTAAAGAATCTTGAACCGTAAAAATATGAAAAAATTTGCTCAATGCTAAAACTATAGTTTTTCTTCCATATTATTTCTGCTAGACTGAAACTTGAGACAAAATATAAGAAATACCACAGGACATCTGTTGCAAAAAAGGCCTAGAGACAAATTTTCCAGCAACTCATTTTCTCCTTAGCTGATGAGGGTCTTACAGAGAAAAGCCAAAGCTGCTAGATGCTGAGTAATTTTGGGCCGCGGTGATGAAAACCTAAATCAGAAACAGTTGCTCCAAAAAGACAGTAGGGTGAAAAAAGAGAAATACAGGAATGATGTGAGCATAACTGAGACTTTGGTATTTATATATATCTTGGCATATGGTTATCACTCGACACGACATGAATGTGGGAGATATTCCTATGATTAAAAACAAATTTATGTACGTTGTTCTAATGTTTGATATTATGGGATACTATTGGATTCTATACCTTGCACAAATATGTAAATACTCGGGCCTTCATGTAGATTGAAAGGAATTTTATTTGGTTTTAGCTTTCAAAACTGGCTATTTCAAAACCAACAATATAAAATCAATCTGTATTATTTCATTCTGTTGGAACATAAACTAAATTTTTAAATATGAAATTTCTATCCAGGACTCTAAACTATGAATGTAGAGCATCTAGATATTTCCTCAAAAAACATATCCCTAAAAATGGTATTTTCCCATCAGGAAGCTGATGCTTTGGCTGATGCTGAGGAAAGATGTGACCAGCTCATCAAAACCAAAATCCAGCTGGAGGCCAAAGTTAAAGAGGTGACTGAAAGGGCTGAGGATGAGGAGGAAATTAATGCTGAGCTGACAGCCAAGAAGAGGAAACTGGAGGATGAATGTTCAGAACTGAAGAAAGATATTGATGACCTTGAGTTAACACTGGCCAAGGTTGAGAAGGAAAAACATGCCACCGAAAACAAGGTATAAGGCAGAAGATGTCACTCTCACAGAAGAGCCCTCTATTTTGTTATTCAGTATGAAGGTTTTAAACAACATTTTTTATCTGCACTCACTCCCTTCTTCTCAAAGGTGAAAAACCTCACAGAGGAGATGGCAGCCCTGGATGAGACCATTGCCAAGCTGACAAAAGAGAAGAAAGCCCTCCAAGAGGCCCATCAGCAGACACTGGATGACCTGCAGGCAGAAGAGGACAAAGTCAATACTCTGACCAAAGCCAAGACCAAGCTGGAGCAGCAAGTGGACGATGTAAGCACACAGGCATAGAGCAAGAATAAGTCCAGGTACGGAGTTCGACCTGGCTGGCAGCGCACTGATGGTCTTGTTCTTTGTAGCTGGAAGGGTCCCTGGAGCAAGAGAAGAAACTGCGCATGGACCTTGAGAGAGCTAAGAGGAAACTCGAAGGAGACCTGAAGCTGGCCCATGACAGCATAATGGATCTGGAAAATGATAAGCAGCAGCTGGATGAGAAACTGAAGAAGTAAGTGTGGCTGTGGGGCACCTGAGTGCTGGGCTGGTGCACTTGTCTTCTTCCTTTGAGCTCTAACACGGTTTGCTTTGCCCAAAGGAAAGACTTTGAAATCAGCCAGATCCAGAGCAAAATCGAGGATGAGCAAGCCCTGGGCATGCAACTACAGAAGAAGATCAAGGAGCTGCAGGCAAGTTCCTTCTCTTCTGCCCTTCAGAAAGACATCAGGTAGGAGGAGGGCACGGGTGTGAAGGGTCCCTAATGTTCCCCAGGCTCGCATTGAGGAACTGGAGGAGGAAATTGAGGCAGAGCGAACTTCTCGGGCAAAAGCAGAGAAGCATCGGGCTGACCTCTCGCGGGAGCTAGAGGAGATCAGCGAGCGCCTGGAAGAAGCAGGAGGGGCTACCGCAGCTCAGATTGAGATGAACAAGAAGCGTGAGGCAGAGTTTCAGAAGATGCGTCGCGACCTCGAAGAGGCCACGCTGCAGCACGAAGCCACAGCTGCCACCCTGCGGAAGAAGCATGCAGACAGCACAGCTGAGCTTGGGGAGCAGATCGACAACCTGCAACGAGTGAAGCAGAAGCTGGAGAAGGAGAAGAGTGAGCTGAAGATGGAGATTGACGACTTGGCCAGTAACATGGAGTCTGTCTCCAAAGCCAAGGTACACAAATACTTTTATTAGTAATTTCAAAAAAGTGTAATATTTGTGTTTAATCTTGTCTTATTTTACTATTATCAGGTTATATTATAACTGTTTTCTCCAAATCTAATATGTAGAACTGTGGACGTATGCACGTAGTCCCCAGATATGTAAACTGCATCTTCTGGACACATTTTCCTGCTGTAACTATGGCAGAATCGAGGTATTAACTCTACTTTCTTATGTGTGATTGACACCTAGGCAAACCTGGAGAAGATGTGCCGCACTCTGGAGGACCAACTAAGTGAATTTAAAACAAAGGAGGAGCAGAATCAGCGCATGATCAGCGATCTCAGTGCTCAAAGAGCTCGTCTTCAGACAGAATCTGGTACGGCACTTCCATCTCTAGTTTGGAAATGCGAGAACCCCTTAAATGATTTTCCTAGCTGTTGAAATCTTTTCTTAATTACAAACTTTCCAGGTGAATATGCACGCCAGGTGGAGGAAAAAGATGCTCTGATTTCTCAGCTGTCTAGAGGGAAACAGGCTTTCACCCAGCAGATAGAAGAATTGAAGCGGCAACTAGAGGAAGAGATAAAGGTGAAGATATTGCATGTTACATATGAAATAAATATTTTACATCACATTGATTTTGGTGCAGTGTTCAAGAGTTCAAAAGGTGATCAAATTAAAAGTTCAAAACATCCCATAAGGTCATACGATGTAGGCTCTGTCAGTGGAGGACTCCCAGCTTTTGCAGTGTATTGGCTATTATTTTTTTCATGCAGTCAGTTAATCACTATTTCTCAGGGATATATTCCAGTATCTAAGTGACAGTAAGAGAAAATTTCCCCGGATACATCTGCTACTTATTGCAATCTTTTTACCACCAGGCCAAGAATGCTCTGGCCCATGGCTTGCAGTCAGCACGCCACGACTGTGACTTGCTCCGGGAGCAATATGAGGAGGAGCAGGAAGCCAAGGGGGAGCTGCAGCGTGCCCTGTCCAAGGCCAACAGCGAAGTGGCCCAGTGGAGAACCAAATATGAGACAGACGCTATTCAGCGCACGGAGGAGCTGGAGGAGGCCAAGTACGTGGGGAATGTGGGAAAGCTGGCAGAAAGCAATAACAGAAACTTGAAAAGAGCATTGAGATGCTGAAAGGTGAAAGCCCAGTAGCAGGTTGGGGAGGAGGTATATGCAACAGAAATATGCACTATAAAGGGTGTGGTTTTGAAAAAGACAAGGCAAAAAGGCTACATGCGGAAGAATGCAGGAGAAAGGCAATGTGTGGTGTGTGCAGAGGGCAGAGGGACAGCTAGACCCGGGAGGAAAAGAATGAGAAGAAAAATAAGTGGCTGGGATAGGCTCTGCACTGTGTGCATGGGGACCAAATACTGCAAAGTGCCTCAGCACTGTGGTGAAAGTGAAAAAAAACGATGATGTCCAATTTAGTCCCCAGTTATGAGTTGTGCTTATCTCCTCCCAGGAAGAAGCTGGCACAGCGCCTGCAGGATGCAGAGGAACACGTTGAAGCCGTCAATGCCAAATGTGCCTCCCTGGAAAAGACCAAGCAGAGGCTGCAGAACGAAGTGGAGGACCTGATGATTGACGTGGAGCGATCGAATGCTGCATGCGCAGCTCTGGATAAGAAGCAGAGGAACTTTGACAAGGTGTTTTGGGCTCCAGACCTGGGGCTCCTGGGCAGAGCATCCCCTCCTCATTGCCACATCCATACTCACGCCCCGTTTCTCTTCAGATCCTGGCAGAATGGAAGCAGAAGTATGAGGAAACACAGACTGAGCTGGAAGCTTCCCAGAAGGAGGCTCGCACTCTCAGCACGGAGCTGTTTACGATGAAGAATGCCTATGAGGAGTCCTTGGACCACCTGGAAACGCTGAAGCGTGAGAACAAGAACTTGCAGCGTAAGTCCCTGGCCCTCTGCTCCTGGCAGGGCTTTCTCACTATGCACCACTACCCACCGCTCCACATGGGTCTGTGCCTGCAGGTCTGCAAAGCTGCCTTTTACGTTGGTGTGGCAGGGCCCTTCCCATTCTGCTCTGTGCCTGACCATGCCCTTGGTCTTTGTTCCCACAGAGGAGATTTCTGACCTCACGGAGCAGATTGCTGAGGGAGGAAAGGCGATTCATGAGCTGGAGAAAGTCAAGAAGCAGATTGAGCAGGAGAAATCTGAAATCCAGGCTGCCTTGGAGGAAGCTGAGGTACATGCCTGTAATCACTGGGGTCTGCAGTAAAAATAGGAGCAGCGGGGAAATATGGGTAAAAACTGCTTGGTCCCCCTCTGTTCTGGCTGGGGAGTGCAGCCAACGGAGATTTCCTGAAATGTTCTGTAATGGCCTAGAAAGCAAGCAGGAGCTTCATTGATGTTACAAATGTTTGTGTCCACTTGTCCAGGCCTCCCTAGAACACGAAGAGGGCAAGATCCTGCGCCTCCAGCTTGAGCTCAACCAGGTGAAGTCTGAGATTGACAGGAAGATAGCAGAGAAAGATGAGGAGATCGACCAGATGAAGAGAAACCACCTCAGAATTGTGGAGTCCTTGCAGAGCAGCCTGGACGCTGAGATCAGGAGCACGAATGAAGCCCTGCGGCTGCAGGCG